TATATATATTATATACTGCTGGAAAGTCTGTTAATTTTCCTTTTAAATGGTGCCACTTTTGCAAGGAACATGCAATTTGTGGGTGAGCAGTAGAGCTGAGTATGTGGGTTGCACGCATGAAAAAAATGCCAATTCTTCTCTTGCAAACAGCTTATTTTGCTTTTGCTATTGACACTTTTCTGGTACCCCTAAAGTGCTGCCAATCAGGTGCCAATCATACGATTCATTGCTCAGAACCATTGTCGCAACAAAGAAATAATCTACACTAAACACTAATTTAATTACTTTTAGTGCTAAATTTATTTTTCTTGCAATTGCAGGGTCATTAATTAGTCCCCCAACAGGCACAGCCCAGTGAGATACTTTGGTCAGATGTTTGTTTGTTTTTTCATAAAAGAAGTAAGTTTCCACTTTATGCAAAAGGAATTTATTAATTATAGAGCACACATGAATGTGTTTGTGCTTGTGCAAAAAGCCAAAAAAGACCAAAGAGGATGAATGCAGTTAGAGAGGAGAGGAAGGTAGTTAAAGTATAGATGATGCAGAGGACAGAGTGAAATAAAGGAGGACTCRCTGTGAAGAGGGAACATGACTGTGTTTTATATATTTTACCTTCAAACGTGGCTTCCATTAATATATGATAAAACACACAGAGCAGTGGGAAATGCAGAATAATGCACATGATGAGTGGTCTGTGTTATGTGTTGACAGATGTATTTCAACAGTACACTGACAGACTCGTCCAAGCTGCTCAAGCCCCTGCTGGTCTTCTCCTTCATGATGAGTGCAATCATTTGTGGTTTGACTCGGATCATTCAGTACAAGAACCACGCCATTGATGTTTACCTGGGCTTCCTGATTGGAGGTGCTATTGCTGTGTACCTGGTAAGAAGCTGCCTTTCAACATTGTTCTAGCCCACAAATTATCTTGGAAGATGAGGTAAAAGATGTTGTCATGAAAAAGCCTTTTTAAAAAAAATCTAATGCAACCATCAGCTTATCCATGTAGCAAACTAAATCCATTTGGGCCTAGAGGAGTACTCTAAAATATCAGCTATAGTTTTGTTGCTTCATTCCTCTCAAATTCTCTCTATGTCACATGATGAAAGACCAAGATTCTCCTGAACAGATTTGTATGTTCAAAGGACATTTGTAGAAACCTCAGGTGGATAATAATGTATTTTCCTGACATACGGTGCAGAAAACATCCTCATAACTATTGATCCTAGTTGAGCTGATGTTGCTCCCTCCAAACAAGCAGTTATAAAGAATAGCATGAGTTACTTGAATAAATAGAAGAAAGGTGTGCTGAAATGTGAGCAATACGAATAACATTGGTAAACTAAATATAGGAGAGGTTTTTTTTTGTTTGTTTGTTTGTTTGTTTGTTTGTTTGTTTGTTTGTTTGTTTGTTTGTTTGTTTGTTTGTTTGTTTGTTTTTTATGGTTGGGCCTCAAAAGAAACATATTTTAACTCATAATAACAAGGTTATACGAGCAGGTCACTGGTGATTGGAGAAGCAGCAAACAGTTTGGTTTGAGATGATGGTATACCCACAGAAGTTATTGCAACTCATTTTGTAGTTGGTTTAAGTTGCAGTAGGTAACTTTTGTTAAAAAAAGTATATTTTACCAATTTTTTTAAACTGTCACTAGGTCCTGACTAGGGTTGGGTATTGAAAGGGTTTATTTCGATACCGGTGCTAAATCGATACTTTCAAAACGGTACCGATTCCTAAACGGTATTTAAATCGGTACTTTAAAAATAAACAAATAAAACACACACACACAAAGGTTTATGAAGCAATGATTATTTCTGAGGCAAAGTCAAACTTTAAATTGACCAACATATTAACTTAAAACTAGAAAACCTAAACTCCCTTTACTCGCTTTACTCGCTCCAACTCCCAAGGCTTCATCTTGGAAAAAAACAGTTGCAAATAATAATTTTTGTTTTAGTTTGTACACAAACAGCTGTTTTAGTCAGAATTTATCAAAAGTCAAGATGTGTCATCACAAACAGTGTCAATGTCAATGGTTTTCTGTTTATTGCTTGAACAACAAACACATTAGGGCAAAACTTTAAAAAAAAGCATGTTTCTGTTCTCTGTGTTTTCAGGGGTGGTATGCTGTTGGAAACTTTCAGTCCAGCGATGAGTCCAGCAGCTTGCCTCCCTCACTTGTACATCACCCTCCCTGTTCGTTGCCTCATGTAACTCAGGAGGCCATTCTGCACCACCTGCAGATGAAAGCCTGCATGGCGCCTGAAACCAGCATACCCACCTCCCACTCTGAAGGCCTCCTCCACCGAGGCCTGCAGCAACAGAGGCCCGAAGACAGCCTGAAGCGTTCCGGTCCAAACGTAGACGTGATCTCCTCACGTAGCCCTCCAAGCAAAGATGCCATCATGACTTTTAGCCACACTCTCCCCAGGGTTCACACTCCTCAGGCCATAGCAGCATATGAGGAAGCCGCCCGACGCCACGCTGCCACTCTCCATCACGCCTCCATGGACTCCAGCCGCTCCAAACAGCTTCTGTCTCAATGGAAAAGCAAGAACAACAACCACAAGTGCTCCATGACTGCCCCAGATTCCATTTCCTCCTCTATGGATTCCTCATCAGGCCAGTCCTCTCAGCATCTTCATCATGGCAGCATGGAGCTCCGATCCAGCTCTGAACCGTCAGCTGGCGGCCTCAATGGGGTCCTTGATAATCTTGCATACCTGTCCAAGCTGCCAACAGGTACTAGTACCACGCTGCCCAGCAACTGCAGTGGCATCACTGGAGGGGCCAGAATATCCATGCAGCCTAGACCCGGGTCTTCACAGCTAGTCCACATACCAGAAGAGGCTAATGAACTTTACAACACCTCCCAGAGAAAAATGGAGGTAGGAGGAAGTGAGTTAATGTCAACAGGAAATAGCACAATTCAGACTAACTGGCAAAAAGCAGCTGAGAAGACCACAGCTTACAGAACTAACGAAAATATGCAGAGCAACCAGCCACGGATCCTGCAAGTTATTGCCATGTCCAAGCAGCAGGGGCTCCTCCAAACCCACTCCAAAAGCTTAGACGAAAGCAGCATGGGCTGCAATTCTGACGGCACCTGCCAGAGTGCTGCTAGATGCAGGGCATTAACCGATCAAGATCCTTCCAACACCACAGGGCCCGGCTCACTGGGCAGCACCACAGGCAGTATTTCAGGAAGCACTGGAGCCATTGTCAGAATTGAGGCCCATCCTGAAAACAACAGGCCCGTAATCCAAGCTCCATCCACTGACGGAAGTGGATCGTGGAGGTGGAGGTCTCTGGATCATGGCACTGGAGTTAGTGGAAGCACAGGAACGAGCTGCCTCGGACCAGGTGCAGGACCTGGGGCTTTGAGGCAGTCTTTTGAGCACACTGATCCAAACCTGGATTCAGAAAGCTCAGACTCGAGACAAGGTTCCATTGACAGGAAACGCAGCAATCACATCGTTACCACGACGTCTACCGTCGGGACTCCACCCATCGTTACTGTTCATGCCCAGAATATTGCCCAGTCAGAGCAGAGGCTCCACCCTCAGGGCTTCTCTACCATCAGGGTCACTCCAGGAGATGGTAATGTTTCAGGAGCAGAAGGCGGTGGTGGAGATTCTGCTTCAGAAGTTCCTTCGGTGGCTTCCAGCCGAGAGTCAACACTGAGAAGAAAAGGCAATATCATTCTGATCCCAGAACGAGCCAACAGCCCTGACAATGCCAGGAACATTTTCTACAAGGGAACGTCCATCACGCCTGCTTTTAAGGACTAAAACAATGAGAGGGGAAGATGTAGCAAATGAGGTGGAACCGCTGTATTTTAACAGAATGCAGTTAGTATTACCCATCAAAGTATATCAATTTAAAAGCAAAGTTTTTATGTAGCATGATTTTTATACATGTTTACACTAAAGCACAACCGTTTACATGTTGTAGAAATCACTGTGTACTCCTTGTGCTCACTACTGAGAGAAACTATTGTCATGCTGATACCGTGCCAGTCATTTTTTGGGGAACAGAACCACCCTTTTCACTCGCTTCGGATGTTATCATCCATTAAATGGAGGTTATTAGCGGTTACCAGTCCCATAGAATGTCTTCAGACTGGCTTCAGACTGTCCCAACTGTGCCGCCTAGTGGGTTCTCCGTCTCATAGAATGGCTTCAGACTGTCAGCTGGTTAAAATGAGGCATAAAGCCACTAAGGTTAATTTTAGAGAAAATGACRTGGGCTAYGATAAAGTAGACCGGACTCCGACGGTAGCAGATTGTTGCATTCCAATGTATATGGCACTTGTAACCCACAGGGGGCACTGTCGGGACAGTCTGAAGCCATTCTATTGGACTGATAACTGCTAATAAGGTCCATTTAATGGACTGATAACATCTGAACCGGCTGCCCTTTTTTTTTGAGTGATGTGTTTTGGATTTTAGGAAGTCAACAGAAAAAGTAAAAAACTGAGTGACACAGTTGCATTTGAACTCAGCAGAACAACTTATTGTGACATAGCTGTGAAACCAATGTTTACTTCCCAGTATTGTAAATATTGTGTGTCTGGAGGCAGTGCTACACCAGCTAATACTATTTATGTTGAATAAACATATATAATCTGAACAGTTGAAAAATATTTTACAAAGAGATACTACTATAACAATAGCTTGTCAGAGATGTTTTCTATTTTGCATTTTTTTATGTAACACGTCTCCAAGAAAATACTTTTTGAACCTTAAGTGTGCTTAGCCTTCATCTTGTAGCTACAAAGTCAAATTGGCTGTAAGTTGCACTGAAATAAGCATTAACCTTACCCAGTATGAGGTAAACCTAACGTCTCACACTTTATATCCTGTTTATATCTCTATTTTTGACATTCGTGTCAGTCAATTCATGCAGCACAAAAAGTTATTCTTCCTCTTTATACTATGAAATTGTTTTTCATTTGATTGTTTATGTTGTCAGCGAGGTGTCAGTTTAATACATTTCTGTAGGATTTCAAAGAAACACTTTCACGTTTTGGGTGCTAACAATAACATAGGTTAGATTTTAGTTTAAAGAGATATTCTGGCCATTTTTAAGTATTGTTCTTCTGACAGGACTGACAAGCTAAAGGCTGGTCTGCACAGGACCAGGAAGTGAATTGCTGCCGTGTTTCACTAAATATAATCTTTAAAAACTTCCTCGCAGTTCATGCAAACACTGATAGTTTTTTATCTTTATGTTGTTGTCACTTTGCTGGCTTACTTTGGCAGGAAAAATGTTAAAATTACTGCATAAAGTGACGCAAGCTGCACCAGAAGGGGCACTTTTGCATTGCAAGGCTCGACCCATCCCGGGCCGTTGCGGCCCACTTCCAGTCTAACTTTTGGAACCCAGAGACCTAGAGTTCTACTGAGGCCCTACATTGAGGCGGCACTCTGATCAAAGCAAACACAATCAGGGCAASGATGTTTGGAGTGGACTGTTGACTGCAGGGCGAGGAGGCAGAGATAGCAGCGTCTGCAGCTGCAGAGGAGCAGGGTGGGAAACTACGGTATGTTGTTTGGTTGTTTGACGTTCGTTTTCACACACAGCTTTCATAGCTTCTGGGAAACCCCTCCCACTGCAGGTTACATGACTGCATGGGGTTTCTTCCTGCTGGAGTCTACGCTCCAGAAAAAAACAAACAAACTCTGATGTTATCTGTCTACAAGTTTGCCTCGGTTGAAGCTCCACAGTTTTTGTCAGATGGACTCCTCTGAGCAAAACGTCTGTTTTATCTCCATGAGTTTTGGGCTGTTTGACTATCTTTGTAAACGTCTGCTTCCAGGTACAACAGCTGGATTCTGGAATGAGTAGTTGATGTAAAACGCAGCGACTTTGAGCACATACAAACACAGCCATGAGCTTTTGACCCATCACACAATAAACTCTTATTGTGACAAGAAGGTAGACTGGAAGCTGAGAACAACATGACACAATTTTCATCACATATCTGCCATGTAATTCACAGACAATCTGTATAATTTGACATGTTTGTATGAAGGTTTTAAAAAATTGTTTTCAGCTGCTAAGAATCTAGTTTTTTTCTTGGCTCGGTTTGGACTAGCCATTAGCTCGTCAGTCCTGTCAGACATAAACCATGTATCCTTTAAATACGGTTCCTCAAAGAACAATCTACTACTGATATATTGTTAAAGGGATGGTCTGTTCATTGCAGAAGTGATGTTCTGTCAAATAGTGTTTGATAGTTTACTATTTTTGTATCACAGAGTATGGAGAAAAGGGCAGAAGTCAAATGATTCTTTTAAATAGTTTTTTCTGGCTTATAAAACAAACATTAGCTCACTGTAAACCGCTGCACTTTAACATGACACCATTTGTTTTATTTGTTTCTGTTTTCTCATCTGAGCCTGTTATACATGAATATGGTTCTCCTGAGGCTGTGAATGAGTCAGTCCATCAGGAGATGAATAAAACCATTAGCCTAACCTGGATAACCAATTTTGCCTCTTTCTCCRTACTCTGCTGTCTCTGGTTGATGTTAAGGCTAAAAAGTTAACTATTGGTAAATATCTGAAACAAACAACACTTTGATTACATGAATAAAACACCACCAGGCTATCATTTTAACATTTAATCCCTTTCCCAGAGACCACCGCTTCAAATTGACGTGTATTATTTCTTCAAACTGAGGTGTTTTCTTTTAAGTGGGATGAGTAAAACGAGAAGCTACACCTCCAATATTCCTTGTGCCAAATTTGCTTTCTGCGCCAAAAAGAAACAGACACATTGTACAAAATAAATTACGGTCAGTCTTGTGTGAACTGATAATAACGTGTCAACTATTGCTACAACATCTGCTTGGTTGTAGGTTTTGTATCTTTTTCTAGAAGTTTCAGTAATATGTATAAATTTATCAAAGATATAAATATTTATAGGTCCTTTTAAAACAGATTACTGTTTTTCACTGTGCTGATTGAAATTTGTTTTTACCCAACATTTACAGCCAATGTAGCATTTTTCAATTCACTGCACAATTTTCTTGTAAAGTTGCAACAAGTTTATAAAAAAATAAATATATAATCAACACTTACTTAAAAAAACACAACATGCAACTTTTTTTTCCTGAGGCATCACCAAAATAATTGTGTGTAACATACAGAACATATCAAAATTTTGTAGCTATGTCATTAAATAATCACACGTGGGAGATTAAAAGTTATGTATAAATGTAATGAGTTCTGACATCAGAAAATGTTTGACTTGGAAAAAAATGACTAACTTTTCAAAGCAAAACAAAATACATGTATTTATATTGAATATTTGTATAGCAATCCTATGTTGAATTCTACGTGATTTTTTTTTGTAAGCCCCTGAATCATCAGCATGATTTTATATTGTGTATCACAAGATTTGTAATGTGCTTTTATTTGAACTTTACTAAACAGTTTGGTATCTTTTCTTTGCTTCACAACGAGTGTCAAATGACAATCTTTGTATCTATGTACTGTTGGATCATGTTTTCCAGCTGCCAACAATTTTATACATGAACAATCTGAAATGTGTACATAATAACAAATAYGAGTGAAAGCAGCTGTTATAAATACTGAACATGTCAGAAGGAAAGTGATTACGTTAGTTTTGAAGTAACTAATTTAATTTTACAACATGTTATGTTTCGTTTTTTATTCTGTTTGCCGTTTTAGTCACTAAAATCAGCAGATTGTCTTTAAAGGGGACCTATTATGCAAAATTCACTTTTTAAAGTTTTTTTTTACTCAACTTTGGGTATGTACTTCTTAAAAAGACAGTCCTAGGACCAAAACAATGCACCCAGGGGCATATTTACTGTAAGTAAATGTATTTTTAATGTGTATTAATGGCAAGTTTTAGAAGCTGCGACCGACTCTGCCTCTGGGTCTCTCATATGGTTGTACAACAGAGCTTCTGCTGTTATTAGCCATGCTAACGTAAACGCTGGCTTTGGAGGGCGGAGTTAAT